GCGACTAGAAATCGAGAAGGGACTAACTACGTGCCTCATTCTACTGACTAAGAAGGGTAAGATCCCGTGAGCAAACGAAGTCCTAGACATCGCACCTCGAAACCATGAGTTCTCAAATTTGAAACAACCAGTAGTATATTGTTTAGTGTCACCCTGGTGTAAAGAAATCTACGTTGGGCAAACGGTTAGGGGAGCGGTTGAGAGATGGTGGGAACACGTAAGATGTGCGGATGTTGGGGACAAAGGTAGATCGCCGATATAATATAATTGGCTGCGCCACTATGGGTGGAAAAATTATATAATAATTCATGTCGAGACTATGCAAACCACTGGACTGAAGACTTTGGAGATGACGCTGATCAAGCGCCTATCCCCAACACTGAATTGCATTGCAGTCAATAAAAAGGGGAAGAAAAGGGATAGACCAGGTAAGAAGGAAATAACGAAGAAGTACAGGGCGGAGGGGAATGAGGAGAGAAGAACCCTCGTCACGTTTAGACTACAGGAGGAAAGGGAAGAGAATTCGAGCCTTAGGAAAATTATTGAAAGTTTGGATAGATCAGGCAAGGCTGCATGTATAGTACGTAGCGGAGGGAAGATATAACGAAGAAGTACAGGGCGGAGGGGAACGAGGAGAGAAGAACCCTCGTCACGTTTAGACTACAGGAGGAAAGGGAAGAGAATTCGAGCCTTAGGAAAATTATTGAAAGTTTGGATAGATCAGGCAAGGCTGCATGTATAGTACGTAGCGGAGGGAAGATATGGGGGGTTAGCTGGGCACTGATGAAGAGGTTGTACGGTACAACATCAATTGTGCATAACAGAGTAACGGTAGCCTTGGCGCAAGTAAAAAAAGTGTTGGAAGAAGGAGGGGAGTTCTGGCTCAAAGTTATCATGTACAGAGACTGTGCTCGTGATTGCAGCAAAGGCTATCTGAGGCTTCTCCTCGAAGCACCGTACAAACAAAGGGAGCTATGGAAGATGGGGACAGGAAAACTAGTACAATTGTACAGTAGCCCAGGGGCTTTCTCCCAAAAAAGGAAGAAAAAGGAGATCAAGGAAGCAATCAGGAGGGTAATAACCAAGAAGGAAGGGGTAAACATTAGGCATAAGACAGCAGTAGCAATAAGGTATGATAACGAGGTAAAGAAGGGGGAGGTAAGGGCGGAGCTACATAGGTGGATTTGGGAGTCGAAGATTCACAACGCGGTAAAAGGAACACTGATAAGACGTGCAAGAGTAATATTGAGCAAAAACGGGTAGGACGGTGGTGCAATCATTTGACAATAGCCAAGAGTGAGGAGGGAAAAGAATAGAAATGTACATGTGCAGAAGACAGACTGGCTCGGGAGGATGGGCACGTGGTGACCATAATAGCCCAGATACCAGGAATCAACGAGCAAATGTGTAATTGGAAGAACGACGCAAGACCGACACAAGGAACGGATGAGGACGATATGAGAAAGGGGATCTGAGCAGCATTGGGGAAGCATACAGAAGCCCAGGAACAGGATATCTGAGTGAGAAACTGCTATGCGGTACAGAAATATGAGAGTTCCGCAGTCACGGAAGAAGAAATCAGGGAGATAAGAAGGAGGCACCAACATCTGGTGATCACGACAATGGATAGAAACCTGGGAGAAATAGTGTTGTTGTACCCATCTACATATCAGCATGCATTAAGGAAGATGTTCATACACAATGGAGCTTACAAACACGAGGATAGGAAGGAGGAGGAGGCCATGGCAGAAACACAGATAGAGTACAAGAAAGCGGGATTGGAGAAGATAGCTGCGTGGAACCAGAAAGGCAAGGTGGGGTGCGCGTACGTGATTCCCAAGCACAAGGACCTTGGGAAATGGAGACCCATTGTGCCAATGAACAAGGAGCCAACCAAGAATGGGAGCAGGAGAGTAGCCAGAGTGCTCAACGTGCTGCTGGCAAGACTCCCAGACGCAGCACACATCAACATGGGAGTAAAGACACACCTAAAGGAAAGACTCACGCAGACGAAGAAGAAGTTCAACTACAAAAGTGGCAGCGCAATGACACTCCTATGGAGATGTGAAATAAAAGAGGTGTTTACATCTTTGCCGCACAAAGCAATACTGGAAGCAGTGGACTGACTACTGCGAGAATGGGAAGAGAGAGGGAGAGTAAAGATAAGTGTAAGCAGACGAGGAAAAGAGGTGAGGATGAACCACAATAGCCAGGGGAAGGGATATGTGCAGATATCCTTCCAGCTCATCAGCAGGTATGTGGAGTTCGAGTTGAACCTTACATACATATCCTGCAGAGGAGTGCTGCTCAGGCAGATAGAGGGGATACCAATGGGGGAAAACTCTAGCCCGCCATTGGCCTGCATACTGTGTGCAAAGTATGAAATTGAGTTTTTACGCTCATTGGGGAAGGACAGAGCACTAGTATAAGGCATCAGGTTTATGGATGACGTTAAGTTGGCAACTCTGATGGACAAGAGAAACGACGACTCATTCCGGAAGGCAGAAAAGATACTGGAGGTGTTCGAAAAGTGCTATGGCAACTCAATCGAGTTCATCGGCGCAAAGGTGGTGGTGACAGCATGTCCAATCAATTTCTGGTCATACCACAACTGAAGAACCAGGAACATATCTTGAAGGGAGACATGCCGTTTAGGAGCTTTCATGACTACTCTTATTACTCCAGTAAGAGAGCAAAATACGGCGCGATCATAGGTACTCTCCATAGAATCCGGCACATGGCAAACACTTGATGTGTCGTGATCCTACCAATGCTGGCCATGAAGCAAGAGCTTAGACGTCGGGGGTACCCCCGACGTTCTTTGCATCTTCCCTAGTAAAATTTGCCAGGGGAACCATCGCACTCGAGGAGGCATGGACGATGATCCTCGACTGCATGGTGAAACGGGCAGGCGGTGACTGCGGACCAGGTGCGGTAGGTTACGGTGGAAAATGCACGTGGTAACCCGGGTAGCGGGGGAAAGCTTTGAGCCCAGGAGAAGAAATTCCTTGGGCCCTCGAAAAGTTAGCAATTTCAATTTCAGTATGCTCAGTTTCCAGCATTTCGTAGTACTTATTTATTTATTCGTATTTTTTCGTTTCCGAGGAATTAAATGCAAGGAAGATGAGCAATAGCGAACTTCAGCAATCAAACAGCATCATATACACAAGACCAGATAGTCGTGACCTCGAACCAACAGCAAGATTGCATCACGAGTTTCACCAAATAAGACGACACCAAGAGCTCAAAATTGACAATGCTGGTAAAGTCTCATCATCATCATCAATGAAGAACCAATGTTGATATCCTATCTGGCACTCGGCGCCCAGACTACAGATGGCAGATCCTATCTAGCCTAGACTACAATGCCGCATGATGACGTCAACAGCTTTCCCGAAGTACGAGCATACAGCGACCAATGTCGCACGCTTCGAGCACCAGGTATGTCTCTCGCCTTACTCACAACCTCGTTCCCCAACACATAGATCCCACTTGCACCCAGGGACCACCCTGCGCCACACCCAGCTTACAGCAGCGCAGCTCGGCTATGGCTGCCTGCTCCTTCCCTGCTCGCCCGTGAGCGCGTAGGCGCCAGCCAGCAAATAGCGCAGCAGCGCTTTGCGCAACATGCAGCCAGCACCCGAATGGCCAATGCAGAGGCAGGCCCTTTGCTATATCGAAGTGGCCTGCCTGCATCCAGTCCTAGGAAGCTTCCAGTAAGCCCTGGTAGCCTGAGGCCCAGCACGAACGAGAACAGGCCGTGGGCCTGAGGTGGTTGCGTGCGCCCAACTGCCTTTGGCCTGTGTTTGGCCCAGTACCCGTATCCAGCCCAGGGCCTGCTTTCCATACATTCACACAGGCGGCCCAGGGTCTGGGTTCTCTCAACCAACTGGCGCTGCGCAACTGCCTGAATTTCCTTGAGTTGCGTGGTGACCAAAATAGGGCCCTGAGGGCCTCGTCGAGCTTGCCTTCACTTAGGGCGGCCGGCTTGCTTCAGAATGGGGCCATACGGGGCTCATAGAGGCATTGGCCTCGCATTCCCTCCTCCTTAGCTTCAACAGTCCTCTGAGAAGCTCATTCTTCAATCATTGGGTGTTTTCCCTTCTGCAGAGATCTCTCGTAATGGGCTACAACTTGAGGAGCGGTCTGCATAAGTTCCTCCCTTGTGAACCAGCGGTCCTCCTTCGGATCAGTGTGATGTCGGAACCAAACGCGGTACTGCAGCTTCGGTTCCGAAGGACGTCCCCTGCCTGTTGGTCTTGCCAGTGGCAGCTCCCGGTGGTCCACGATATCATCGATATCCACCTCTCCATCCATGGTTGGGGGCAACATTGAGCGGCGAGATGGAAACTGGTCGGTTTCTTTGAACATTCTGATCACATACTCCGTCCTTGCTATTTTCGGCATTGCTACTAACCTAGCATACTTACTAAATCTATCCACAATAACGAAGATGTGTCGCATCCCACTCTTGCTGGTGACTAGAGTATCCATGAAGTCCATGGACAGACTCTCACCAGGCCTTTTCGGAATCAGAAGGGGCTTCAGGAGCCCAAGAGGAGCCCGCATACCTGGCTTGTCCCTTTGACAGACTTGACAAGTCTCCACGTACAGTTGGGCATCTCGCATCATCGTGGGCCACCAAAACTGCTGCAGCAGATTAGCTGCGGTCTTTTTGTACCCAAAATGGCCGGTGGCATCGTGACACTCGTGTAAAAATAAAACTACGCAAAGACTCCCTATTAGGAATACACAAACATTTATTCCCAGCCTTCTCGAGGAACAGCAAGCCGTTGACCAACTCCACCTCAGCAGAAGTCACTTTGTCCTTCGCTTCAAGTCTGCGGATGATCTCGGACATGAACGGATCCTCACGATAGGCTTCCACCATGGACTAACATTGTCCTCAAGCCCAAACTCAGTGATCAGCGCAGAGAAATCAGGTCTACGCGACAAGGCATCAGCAACCTTGTTGTACTCGCCCTTGATGTACTGCGGCTCGAAGTCATACTGCTCTATGACTTCGATCCAACGCTTGAGAACGTCAGAGAGTACCGGCTGAGTTCTCATCCATCTCAGGGTCTGATGATCACTCCTAAGGATGACGAACCTCCCAAGGAGATAGTGTCTCCAATGGGTCAGAGCCTTGTACACCGCATAGAGTTCTTTCTCATAGGTGGAATTTGCCAAATTCTGAGACGACATCTTTTTGGACATGTACTCGACAGGCCTCAACTTTTTCCCCTCCTATCGTGCAAGTACGGCGCCTATGCCATATTGGCTAGCATCCGTAGTCACTATAAATGGCTTATCAGGATCAGGAAGTTTCAAGGCTTCGTAATGCGTCAACGCATGCTTCAGATGTCTGAAAGCAGCCTCGCATCTCTCAGTCCACTCCCATGGGGTGTCAAGGCGGGTCAGATCAGTCAAAGGGGCGGCAACTATGCTATAGTTCTCCACGAAGTTGCGATAGTAGCCGGTCATCCCTAAGAAAGATCTCATCTCAGTCACAGACTCAGGATGCAGCCAGTCACGAATGCTGGCCACCTTCACGTCATCGGGCTTCAACCCTTCCGCGGAAATCTCATGACCCAAGCACAAGACACGGGTGCGGCCAAACTCGCACTTCTGACCGTTGATCTTGAACTTGTGCTGTCGCAGGAGGCTGAGGACTTTGTCCAAGTGCGCAACGTGCTCCTCGACAGTCTTACTAAAAATAAGTATGTCATCGAGGTACACAATGACAAACTTATCCAAGTTGTCGTTGAATATCCGATTCATAGCGTGTTGAAAGGTGCCAGGAGCATTGCAAGGGCCGAAAGGCATCACCACAAACTCATACAGACCATACCTGGTCTGAAAGGCGGTTTTGTGTTGATCCTCGGGATGGATTGCAATCTGATGGTACCCGGACTTCAGATCTATCTTACTGAAGTACCGACACCCTTGCACTCTATCTAGCAAATCGTCGATGCGCGGTAGGGGCTCTCTGTTCTTAACAGTGATGGCATTGAGGCCCCTATAGTCAATGCACATCCTCAGAGTTCCCTCCTTCTTCTTAGATACAAATAATACTGGAGACCCATAAGGAGAGACACTCAACCGGATCCAACCCTTCTCTACGAGTTCCTTAAGTTGTCGGCGAAGCTCATCGAGCTCACCTGGAGGCATCCGATAGATCCTACCCTTCGGGATACTAGACCCTGGGATAATCTCTATCGCGTGGACGACCTTCCTCTCTACAACCCCTGTCGACTCTTCAAATAGATCAGGGTACTTGGCAACTACTCCCTCTATCTCCGGCGGCATTTTCACCGGCTCGCCTGCAGCAGAGACATAAACTAAGTACATACCCTCCTCCACAACGCGGCCGCACACATGCACCCATGGGACTCAATCAGACTACTAGCTTTAAACTTACGTAATCTGGTGGTCCCTCCACCTGGCAAAGTGTGTTTGACCACTTTTCGATCCCAGTCAAACCGGGGTTGTGCCACAGAGAGGTAGTACATACCTAACAACATGTCCATGGGGAGTTCATCGCTCACTAGGAATCAGACGCGATGCCTCAATTCCCCTCCCTCGTACGGGAAACAACACTCCACATCTTGGAGGTAGTTATTGACTACCATGCGCTGTTTGTCGGCACAGGTCGACTCCACAAGTCGACTCAGGCGCTGCACTTGCCCCTATAAGGGCAGCCTCTCAACGCACGCGCGACTGATAAAGTTCCTAGTCAAGCAAGTGTCATAATAGGCCCCGGCCTTGCGGCCGCCAATGACCACCTCGCTGACGAACATTTCACCCTTCGGGGCTTTGACTAGGGCCGTCCAAGAAGTTAGTGGGTCTGATCTAGACCACTCCTCTAGCTCCTCTAAGGACTCAAACACATTCATCGAACAGAGGCTCGATGGGTCTGAACATGTTTGCGGGACGATGCTGGAGTCAGTAGCTTGGGCCATCTCTCTAGATGGTGAGGGTGTCTCCACCACCTCGACCCTAGCAGGAACCGCTACTATTCCTACTGGCCCGACGTGTTTCCCGGAGCACTGCCAGAAGTATTAGCTACGTTGCGACCAACGGGGTGGGAGGATCCCAATGCCTGCCCCATCGTAGGCGGGATCTTATCGGTCACCTTCTTGTTTCGGCACTTGAACTGATTATGGTCGTATTGGCCACAACGAATGCAAGCCTGCCGTGTGTACCGATCTCTCCACACGTCCTCTGTGAGACGCGCTTTCTCCCATGGAGGAGCATTGGGGTCAACTTGACTCCTAGACCGGGAACCTCCACAGCGTCTACCGGTCGCCTTACCTTTTTGGGCTACGACAACGACTACTCCTACCTTTTTGAGCTACGACAGCGACTACTCCACCCTCTGAAGCTTCTACGCTGCCAGCCTCTGAACCTACTCCTTCCTGGAAGTTGTCGTCTAATTTGATGGTTGAACCATCGTTATCGACAAACATAATACGACCCTTCGCCTTCCAGTTGGGAGGCAGTGTCTTCTTCCTACCGTCCGTTGTGGGGTTATGTCTATGCCCTATCTTCGCCTCAAGGTCTAGGGCCTTCTTGCTAAACGAGGCGGAGTTGTGAACATTGATGTTGGCCTCACCTGCCAACTGATTCCTGAGAGGCATTGAAAAGCATCTCAGGTAGGAGGTGAGTAAAACCTGGGGGTCATAGCGCACCCCAGGGACACAGATCAGACGCTCTACAGGGTCGGTGGCCTCCCTGATTGACTTAAACTGCCTCGTGTGTAGTGTCAAGGTCGCGTCAGTGGCCTTTTGAGCCTCCTGAGGATCATGCCACCTTTCCTCCACCATCTTGAGGAAGTCCTCCAGTTTCTGGTGGGCTGCCCAAGAGCGGAAGTCATGACCATATCCCTGTAGTTGCACCAAACCGCTCAACCATCGTGCTGCACTACCCTCTAGATAGGATGCATCCACAAGCACTTCCTCGTGCGGCGAGGTAAGCTTACACTTGGCATAGACCGGCACTGCCCTCAACCACGTGTCGAGGTTTTTGCCCCTCTTATCCCCTGTGAAAGGTTTGGGAGCGGCGATGGCCGTCTTTGGTACCCACTGTGTTTGTCCCGGTCCCTGCATCACTCCTGGTTGTGGACCCTGTGACACAGGCTGCTGTGCTAGCTGCTGGGGCTGTATGCCCTGTTGCTGTACAGACTGCGAGACAGCAGGCTGCGTGGTAACCGCAACCTGCAATGGAGATTGGGTGAACATTGTCTGTACAGGAACCTGCAAACAAGATCCTGCTGATACCCCTCCTGATAGCGGCATGCCCAGGGAAACGATCGCAACCGATGATGGGGCTACATATGGGGATACCCCAGTCACCGGTGGGACAAAAGGAGGAGGTTGTACAACGGGCCAAGCACCAGGCCCAGACATTGGCGACGTTGTCTGCTCTCGCCCAACCAACAAGGCCAGACTTTGCTGAATGTCCTGAAGGATGGTTGTCTGATGGTCCTGCATCTCAACTACATTTAGCAGGACGGACCGTACGATCCTCACGTCATCAGTCACGTGCGTCAAGTCCATCTCCTCTAACTCACTAACGTCCGCTTGTCTCCGCTGCATCCTGGCTCTTCTTCTAATCATCCTAATGCCTTCTGTAGTTGTGCCTCCTGCAAAGCTGCTTGTTGTATAGCGATCTCGTGTGAAGTCAACACTATTGGCTGGCTTGCCATTACGCCAGTGGACTGACTCTGGGTCTGCGCGACCATTGACCCGACAGATCTTGAACTACCGGCCTGAGTAGTCTGTTGCGCAGAGGTGGCCATGGCTTCCGAAGCTGTGGCTTCACTCACAAGTGCCCTGCTAGCCTCTGTTGCTCTAGCCCTCCTCTGCTGCTGACCAGATGCAGATTGTGATGACCAGTCATTGCTTCGGCACAACCAGCATTGCATGCCGTACCACCTCAACACCAATCACACATTAGATAGTTCTCATCACACTATCCAACACCCACATTACACCACGTAGCCTTCCTGGCGATCCCCTCACCTCCTGGGTCGCCTATCACTCGTCTCCGCCCTCGTCACTACACACCACTTACGGCCAAACTCGCCAAGCAGACCGCATGTATTTACCGCATAAGGCAGAAGACAAGCGCCAGATGAGCGCAATCGTACCACAACTCCGATACCAAATTGCAAGGAAGATGAGCACCTCCTGGGTCGCCTATCACTCGTCTCCGCCCTTGTCACTACACACCACTTACGGCCAAACTCGCCAAGTAGACCGCATGTATTTACCGCATAAGGCAGAAGACAAGCGCCAGATGAGCGCAATCATACCACAACTCCGATACCAAATTGCAAGGAAGATGAGCAATAGCGAACTTCAGCAATCAAACAACATTATATACACAAGACCAGATAGTCGTGACCTCGAACCAACAACAGAATTGCATCACGAGTTTTACCAAATAAGAAGACACCAAGAGCTCAAAATTGACAATGCTGGTAAAGTCTCATCATCATCATCAATGAAGAACCAATGTTGATATCCTATCTGGCGCTTGGCGCCCAGACTACAGATGGCAGATCCTATCTAGCCTAGACTACAATGCTGCATGATGACGTCAACAGCTTTCCCGAAATACGAGCATACAGCGACCAATGTCGCACGCTTCCAGCACCAGGTATGTCTCTCGCCTTACTCACAACCGCGTTCCCCAACACATAGATGCCACTTGCTTTCAAGGACCACCCTGCGCCACACCCAGCTTACAGCAGCGCAGCTCGGCTATGGCTGCCTGCTCCTTCCCTGCTCGCCCCTGAGCGCGTAGGCACTAGCCAGCAAATAGCGCAGCAGCGCTTGCGCAGCATGCAGCCAGTACTCGAATGGCCAATGCGGAGGCAGGCCCTTTGCTATATCGAAGTGGCCTGCCTGCGTCCAGTCCTAGGAAGCTTCCAGTAGGCCCCGCTAGCCTGCGGCCCAGCACGAACGAGAACAGGCCTTGGGCCTGAGGTGGTTGCATGCGCCCAACTGCCTTTGGCCTGTGTTTGGCCCAGTACCTGGATCCAGCTCAGGGCCTGCTCTCCATACATTCACACAGGCGGCCCAGGGCCTGGGTTCTCTCAACCAACTGGCGTTGCGCAACTGCCTGAATTTCCTTGAGTTGCGCGGTGACCAAAATAGGGCCTTGAGGGCCTTGTCGAGCCTGCCTTCACTAAGGGCGGCCGACTTGCTTCAGAATGGGGCCATACGGGGCTCATAGAGGCATTGGCCTCGCATAATAGGTTACTAGCTAAGCGCCCGCGGTGCGAGCGGTGCGGGCTATGCGCGCAAAAATAAGAAATGTTGTAGGGAACCTAACACAAACCACTCACATAAACTGAAACAGACTTTAAAAAAAAAAATTGAGTCACAGGGTAATAAAGAATAGCCCAAAACTGGCTACGAAGTCTGAGTTTAACTGAAGAAAAAAAAAAGTGACAAATTGAAAAATCAATTTAAATCATAAAAAAAAAAAGWAGGAGGAAGGCCGAGGAGAGACAGAGACAGACAAAGAGAGATAGAAAGAAAAGAAAAGATAGAGACATAGAGAGAGAGAGAGAGWGAGAGAGAGAGAGAGAGAGAGCAACAAAAGAGCAAAGAATAAAGAAACACCAACACCAGTATACAAAGAGAAAAAGTTTAATATGAGGATTTATCGTTCCATTAAAGTTAGCAAGTGTCCGCAATTTGATCAAGGCACAATTATTGCGTAATGGAATCCACCTTGACTTTAAAAAACGCAATAATCAAAATTATTATTATTATTATTATTTTTTATTTTTTATTTTTTTTTTCTCTCTCTCTCTCTCTCTCTCTCTCTCTCTCTCTCTCTCTCTCTCTCTCTCTCTCCCTATCTCTTTTGTAAGGGCAATTACTTAATCAAAACCGAAACTGACCATAAAAAAATCTGCCATTAAGGAAACGCCTGGACGACCGCCCAATCAACATCTCTCACTTCCTATCTCTCTTATAAGACCAATCAACTTCCTTCACTGGAACGATACTCTTGCAGCACCTCACGAATAGAAACTTGTTGCAACATTTTGCGACGATACTCCTCAAAAGTTATGAATCGACCCTGTCTTTGCCGATTGTAATCGAGATGAATTGCAGCATCCACACATCTCCAAGTGTTTATGCTCGTATTCAATTGCGCTGCTGCTTCCATAATATCTTGCACCCTGTGAGAACTGTCAAGATACGACAGGTGTGCAAGTATCTTTTGGGGACCAATAGATTCAAGAGAGTCATAGACGGCAATGTTAAAATCAGAAGAACTTGGTTGTTCCAAGGGTCTTGTATGGACATGAAGATGGTCTGTTGATGGCGCAATAGTGGGCACAACACAACTGACAGGAGACGGAGTAGCTGTAGCGGCTGGCAAAGCAGAAACAACAACAAAAGTAGTGACAATCGCCGTTGACATATTGGATGGTGGAACATAATCCGCAAGACGTTGAAAATTTGGAGGAGATGTTGCTTGAAGGGGGAGTCTACGGACCGGAGCGCAATGAGGAATGGAGGAAGCAACCACGGGAGAAATCCTTTTGAGAAGTTGTTGTATCCGTGCATATCTGTGAAAGGGTTGGGGAATGGGCCCTTCTGTCGGACAATGTGACAAATCAAATGTCATCCTAGTAATCTCCTCATTAGAGAGAGCAATATACTCATCGCTCAAAAGTGAATTCAACATGGAAGAAGCCTCCAAATCCGAAACATTCAACGGGTTTGAAGGAAGAGCCTCATGGGATTTTCGTTCCAACCCCATATTAGTGATTTTGTTTTTTTTCCACTCGAGGAAGTTTTCTCATATTCCGTCCATCGTTTACGACTGTGGCACTTTTGACAAACATTTCAAAAAACACCTCACTCAAGACATTTTGTATGTCAACCTTCTTCGCATCCTCGAACCATTTCCCAAGGTAAGCGGGTGGATTCGGAGCACGGATTGCGGGGTTCATCCTTATCGTCGGACACCACAATAACACCCGCAGGATTTTGTGTTTGCGATGTGACACAAACATCTCTTTCGCGTCCACTTCGTTGAGATTACGAACACGAATCACGAACACGTGCATGTCCAGCGAGCGATGCACAAAATTCAAGAGATGCAAGTGCCTCGGCAGGGAGTGCATTTAACGCTCTTAAAATTTGAGTTCCCGTTTCACCAGCAACCAGTTGCCGTTCCATCCGATTATTACCGAGCGTAGGCTCGGGCACTCCGGGCGAATCCAAAACATTAGTTTTTGCACGACGGCTCCTTTTTCTCACGAATGTAGATTCAACCAAGTCTCCTTTCGAATCACTTGTAACGTTATCATCCTCGAGATCGCGAAATGTAAGGTTAATAGGCCTACCCGACTAACCTCTACGCGAACCATCCCCATCAACACGACAATTGTCACCATCCCCCTCCACAACTATTTTCTCAGCATAATCAAGGGTTCTCTTGGGAACGTTCACGTTCAACCTCACGCAAAACAGGATGATCATCCCGAGGATGTTCACTTCCAAGATTCACCGACCTCTCATCATTCCCACTTTTCTTCGACCTCTCCGAATGTTCGGCTCCAGCTTTCGACGTAATATTCGTATCATATTGAGTGGTATTGCTGGTTCCCATTGCTTTCCTCTTAGCACGAGTGTTGTACTTATGCGGAATTCGAGAGTCGCCTGCAAGGAAAAAATATGACCGAATTATTTGAAATGCCAAGGGTCGATGAAAAAAAAAAAAAGACTCATCTCAAAAGTTCATGATATACAATATTCTTCGTAAAAAAAATTATTATCAGGCAACGCAACACGGATGTTGTTGGGATGGCCAACACCCAACAAAGCAATGTACAGTTGGTCATGCGAAAAAACCGGTTTGCGTAGCCAAACCCCAACACGTGATACCGTTTGTCCTTGCGACTTGCTAATCGTTACAGCAAAAGCAAGACGGACTGGAAATTGCCTCCTAAACCATTTGAACCCAGTAGTCTCACCATCGCTTGTCAGATCAATCTTGGGGATTAGTGTTGTTTTACCCGTGAGCATTATTGTCACTTCCAACATCATTATCGATTTTTTTCATAATCCGCCTTGTGTCATTGCAAAGTCTTTGCTTTTGTCACAAATTTTGCAAAAGCATCACAGGTGCACCAATTTTTAAGCGCAGCTTGTGAGGTGGAAGCCCAGATTCATTGAGAGAGTTTAAGAACTCCCGCTCAATACCAAGCCCGGTATCATCTGAATCAGGATAATCAACACTGAAAAGTTCATGCACCTCCCCAGGGAAGTCATCAAGAACACGGTTGTTAACAGAACCAGCATCGTCATTAGTAGGGCATAGAATTAATCGAGGCAAGAAATACTCGGCATCGCCCACATGGTTGTACACATCATCAAACGTCCATGAAATCAATTCATCAATTGGTTTATCCGTACAAATCTCATGTGGCAATCTGACCGCAGCAGGTTCATTAGGAACAATGTGAGGATGGTCACCATTCCCAATACGCATCAAAAAGTGGTCATACATTCGTGTCATTTCGTCATCCCCTAAGCTTAAGATTTGCATATTTTCAGTGAGTTTATGAATCTCAAAAAGTTTTCACAAAGGAGACATTTTTATGGACGCATCAATTTGTTGCGCTCGCAATCCA